ATATGAAGGGTCAATATTTGAAGATTTATAATAATTGAAGTGCGTCATTGTTTGCCTTTGGGAAGTAGTGTGTGATCTTCGTCGAGTATTTTCTTTCAAATAACTCTTTGGCTTTCGAGATGCTGTCGAGAATGACAAGGAAGGATAAAGCTTTTGTGAAGAGAGGCCAGAGGTTGTTTGTCGGCCGCTCTATGGTCTAGTCGGGACGACATGAACTGTGGCAAAATACGGTAATCTAACGCATTTAAACCACTCCTTGAACAAATGAATGCTCTTATACATATTTTTCTGAACTTAATTACGCTCCTTGTCGGACCTGTATTCATTAAATATTTGCTTTGAAAGCTCAGATTAAGATTGTCTCGTTGATAACGGGTTCAAAGTTTTCAAGTTTGCCGCAAACATGGTTGGTATCTCTGGGGAGGTCTGACAAAACTGATCAGGAATGATTCTTATATATGCTATCACGATAAGTCCAGTCTTTGGTTTGTTGTTACGACTTGAGAGGACACCAATATTCTTGCTGAGAGACAACAATATGTCTGTAAAGGTTTTGCCGAATTATTGGGAAAGGAAGTTAGTTATAATCATCATTTCTTATAATTTCACAAATTCCTTTCGCAAGCTTTGGATGCTTAAGTTCCTTGTTCTAAGTAGCGCCCAGTCGAAAATTCCCATTTTTCAGAAAGAACAATGGCAAATTCAGTGGATCGTAATACTTTGCTGTTTACAAAATTTAATCCAGATATAATATTTTTCACGACTAAAACGATTGAACCAGAGCCAACTTTACGCCTGCCCTTAAAATCTTGACAGCATTACAGACAAAAGTTTTTGTATTATGCGATGCGTGATAATCTCCTACTACGGATCTATTTTTAGAGGTATTTATGCTTTCCAAGTATCCTTACAACACGGGAGAGAGTACTCCTAGTGCGAGGCCGGACTTAGCTTACTGCACACAAATATTTATTTTTAACCATTTTTACTTATTTATACCACTCTCCGTTTGCCTGAAATTAATATCATTTGTAGTATTTTCTGGTGAGTTGGGTTAAACTGAGCCGGAAGCAAAGAATTAAAAATCTCTTTGTGTACTGCCGCCAAACATCACAGTCCTGCGTGTTTAATTTTTAAAAACCCTAAGTTTCTGCCTTCAAGAGAAGATTTTACACCGAAATGTTCATTGAATAGCTGAATTGTTGAAACATGAGGAACATTTCTTGCAATCAAATTGTTCTTGAATTGAGACTCAATGAGTTCCTTTTGAACTCACAAGAAGGTGTTTGTAACGAGAAAGTAATACCGTTAAATAACCACAAAGTAGCGAAAGAAACACGAACGGAATTTCCTAGGGATCAGTGCTCTTTACGGTCTCACAACGGAAAACATTTTCCTTTAAAGTGCAAGTTCTCTTCACAACTAACACGATGCATTGAACTGGGCTATATCTATGTCTTCAGTGTGCTGAAGATGGGGAAAGGCACGCAGTCGCGGACAACCCAGCCTGTCTACCAAACTTATAGAATATATTCACCGTTATCTAATCAAAAGTGAGTCCTGGTGGTTTTCAAGATTGGAGGCTTTCTTTTGCAATCCCAATGATCTTCGCCTGACGAAATTTTTCACCATGGATTTTCAATTTACCATGAAGTTTCCTCGTGGCTGACTCGCTAAACAAGAATACTACTGCCCTTGTCGATTAAAACTGTTGTTTTGCTAATACTCGACTTCCCTAAAATTGACCCAAGTGGCGCGTGCAAGATAAAAGTTCACCTTAGTGTCTAAAGTTATATAAGCGGATCATCAGAGGCGTGTTCTCCATGTAGTATGCCTAAATATGGTCAATCTTGCCGTTCCCGAAGGGTCGTTTCCCTTTTCACATTGATTACGTAATCTCTTCCTGCATTCCTGATATTCATTTGGGTGTTAAAGGAAAATATTGGCTATCTTGTAACTCCAACTATGAATGCTAATTGTTTTAGAGGATGGTGCGGTCGACCGCAAATTGGTAAAAATTATTCGACTACTCAAGAAACTTTTATTCATGGGCGTTTATTATTAGAGTGGACGCAAATTAAAGGCGATGAATTCCCTGGTAAGAGTTAAAAATATGATTCAGGGCACCTCAGTTTAAGTGAATTTCTCTAATCTCATAATGGAAGACTATTAACAATAACTAATCACCTAAGTGGGTAGTTACTTCGCATTATCACTCCGTTGGCCAAAGATAGACAAGATACATGTTTTATTGTTCAGAGTTCAACGTTTTTTTTTTTTTGGTGTGTGTCTCAGCAATTCTGAAAGAGCACTAAGGCCTTTCTGCCTGCGCGGCGGCACATGCCTTTTCACGTGGTATATACATGTTTTGAATTGTCATCGGAACAGTTCCAAAATAATTTTGTATAAGGTGCATATTTTGTTGGCTGGAAAGGGGAAAAACACTTTCTGCCTCTTGAGATTAAAGCAAAGAAAGCAAAATTGACACGAGTAATAAAAACAGGACAGGATTACAGTATTACGATGAAGGTTATTTTCCCAGCACCTGAATAAACAAAACGGCTGCTATGGTTTCTTATGAGGTTATGGAAATTATAAAACCTTGGCTTACAGTTTATAAATTCTTTGAATGATTCTTTTACAATGATATGCTTGTATTTCTTCTAAGGCGGATGTTTTTGTTGAGAAATAGAATCCAAAACATTCGGCCGTTGTAGGCTGGGACAGGAAGTTGCAAAAGCCTATGAAACCAGTTGCTTGCGGAAATGACGTCTTCAGATATCTTGGGGTGCAAAGACAGCCCTCAAATTTTGTTTGACAACATCATCTGCTATTCAAAACCCTGACTTCTTAAAGTAAAAATTTGAAACACAAACAATACTGACATGCTTTCCTATCTAATCAAGTTGTTTTCATTAACGATTTCCACTAATTTTGTCTTGCCAACCGCTGTTTGAAATTTTGTGCTCATTGGCAGCTCTCAGTCGAAACATGACGAATGTTTCCTCGTTCTGATAATTATTTCATGAATTCTCTTGGACGCTTCGCCCAATCAATGAATAAGCGGGAATATCAGAGTTGGCAATCCAGTATTCCCACTGATTTGGGAATTGTTTGCCAAAAGGCCAGTCATTTCAACCTTCAGGAAGAAATTTACGTCAGCGCAAGCAGACATCTTTCATGTTCACTACACTGAAGTCTGCCAAAATCTTCCTTCGAGGAAGAAAAGACAACCTCCTAGAAATGTTGATCTTTTGAGCAATATGACTAAATTTCCTTCTTACATGATAAGTATCATTTCCATTTTAACTTTATGTGATTATGAAAGGTGCGATAAAGAGGCAAAACGTGTTGCGGTTTGATCATCAATTGACACCTTGTTACAATAACGAGCTGTTCGGTACGGATATCATGACAGGAGACCAGATTTTGCACGTTTTGAAACTGGAGAAAAAAATCAAGCCAATTTTTCACACTTCCAGTGCCAGAATGAACAAGCAGGAGTGCTCAGGGATGAAACTGTGTAACAATTACAGATCTCAAAAAATTATTACTCATCTAATGCATGTAATTCCAGTTATCTGCTTAGTTTATCTACCTATCTCATTATAAAGTAAACTACAAATTTATGCACCGGCAGTGTGAAATCAACATACACACTTTTGCTGCACCAAATTACTACGAATTGAATCAGTTGAGGAGGGCAATTCTCCAATTATTAGATCGTATTCAAATATATTTTGCGCTACATGGGTAATAAATTTATTGTTATTAATCTCAAGCACAAATCGTCCTTCGTATAACTGAGGTAAGGTGTCTCTTCAAAAAAGTGGCACTAAGCTAGAGCTGAATCGAAAAGCTGTCATTAGTTATCGTTGAAACGCCCAAGATCATCTTCATTGCTAAATTAGTCGTTGTCATGAATTTCCTGAACCACTATTGACCAATAAAAAAGGATTTATTAATTAATTTAATCAAATTTAGATAAACGTAAAACATGACTCATAAGACAATTTACTGCCAGATGGGCAATTTGCTGCAAGGATCTCCCCTGTAAAAGGATTTGTTTCACAACTAATGGCTTTTTCGTAGAGCGATAATCGTTTTGTCGTAGCTAAGACATCCGTCGGGTGGGAGTTAAACACCCATACGTAGGAGTTTGTAACCGGCTGATGCCTTCCTCAGCTCTTATCAGAGCTTCAAGGGTCGGTCTGTACTGCGGCGCAAAAGATTAAAATACCAAATTCCAGAGTTGGGTTGGAATTCATAACGGCTAAATATAGACAAGGGAAAATTACGTTTCTGCCTGAGAGCATTTTTGGGTTTCCAGTGAAATTTTAAGTTGAAAATCAACATTTAAGAGCGAAGGGGATATCCAGTTCCGTTTGGGTACATCACTTGCAACTTGAATGCAATGCTGAAGAAATCAAGTAGATTGGAATTTTTCTGCGTTCCTACGATATTACACAACAAAAAATTGTAGACAAAAATTAAGATGTTTTGTTCGCGTGAGGGCTTGCAACACATCGCGGCATTAATTAAACAGAGTTGTCCGTCTTTCGGCACGCTGTGGACAGAAAAAAGAGGCCTGAAAAACAGTGTAAATTCCCGCCCGTTATCGGTTATAAATAAACAACTTTTGGTGTACATAACTTTGCACTCTTCAAGCTCAGTTATCGACCGACATATTACAGATCAAGTGGTTGTAATTTCGACTACGGCACGATTTGTGAAAGTGTCTTTTTGTCACACAGAATCGACAACGGCGCGAGTGTATTTATAATTTTCAGTGTAGGCGATGGTCTGGTAACCTTCAGAAGTGATAGTATTTCTTGATATCCCGCAGGGCTGATGCTGGCGTAGGCCATGTGAGACACATGCCTCACAAATATTGTGTTGAGTGGTTGGGTAATATGAAACGGGATACTCACCACATGCCACAGAGATAATGCGATCAGATCGCAGTCCACCTCAGGGTATAAATTGCGCGAGTCGCCTGACACTGGGTCGTATTTTCCGCGAATGCTGAAACAGATCAGCTATATAATCAGTGTAATCGCGCGCGTAGGGAGGGAAACGTAGCGCTTATCAACCGAAGATAAAATCAGTATTAGACACAAGGTTCAGCGTTTGGCAAACACTCCAGTGCTGACTTTGCTCATCGTTTCACAGGTCGCGACTTCTTCACAAAGCATAAAGTATGGAACAGAATAGGCAAGTTATGCTTGTGGTTTCTCTGCTTGCAATCTGCAGCTTGTTGTCTCTCGGCGACACCAGAAGTCTGGGATCTTTAAAGGTAAGTCCAACACAAACTTGATTAACTTCAAATTCTTCATATATTTTTGCCATCAACAATTTATGAAGATACTTCATAGCAGTAGTACTGTGAGTAACTGAAAAAACCGAAAAACGTGACTAGAGGAAATCAGCGTTTATGAAGTTTTTTTTCTTCGTCCGTTTGTGCTGAAACTCGTAAGGGAGACGTGGCCCTTTCAACTCAGCACTGTTGCTACGCAGTTACAAATCGCATTATCGATAGTCTTAAAATAGCTGAGTTTTACCCTCTTTTAACAAAAGTCTAAGGAGTAAGCAACAACCCTGATTTTCGTTAAAAGCCTATTATCAGGTGGAAAGACATCGTATGATGTAAAAAACGAGAAATCCGAAAGGGAAAGGATTCGGCGCTCCATTGCTGGCGATCCCGGAATAAATTCTAGCAAGTTCTTTATTGTGTGCAACGTCCGCTTAGACAGACTACATAACTGAATTTAATTAGGCTATGAAATTGCCATGGATTATTAGCTAAGCTGGTATAAACTGTCTCCCTTATTGCCCATTTTCTCACGGATAATGAGACACCGTGTTTTATTTTCTGTCGTGTTTTCATAATAGGAGATTGAATTGAACGGATGACCTTTCGTCTCACCGGAACATCTCTGTGGCAAATGCGTCAACTCTTGTTAAGTACAAGAGTGGCTATGAACGTAAGGAATCCAGAATCTTTAAACTCGTTTGATTGGACTTAATGGAACGAAATTGGTGATCTTAAAACGAAAAGGCGCTTTATCACTACACAAATAACCTCGAAAGTTTACTATGAGCTGTGTATGTCGCCCGTGCTGTTTTTCTAAAGCGACATACGCATCAAACACCGGAAAAAAATTGCACCATTGAGTATAAACAAGTTTGTAAGCGTATAAAAGGCTCCTTCGAAGCTCTTTCTGTAGATCTAATACAAAGCTTGATAGGTCTTGACCCGTGTGGATATTCGTGGACACATGTGCTAAATGGCGAATCAGTTTTTGCGGTTTCTTAGTACAAGCATTAAAACAATATTGAAATTCAACTCCCATGTCATTTGTCACTGAGGGAAATAGAATTAAAGGTCATTACTACAAACTTCTGCAAAGTGGAGTTAGTTGGGAACTTGTAGCGAGTTATAATTGGAAACATGTCGCTCTGTTTTCAATAAAAACAACAGAACATTCTTCGAGAAGAATGTTACCTTTGGCGTAGACTGAATTTAAAGAACAGAAGTCGCCGGTAGCAATTTTGTAAGCGCTTAGTCAACACCTAAATTAGCTCGCGAAACGATTGTTTAAGAATTCAAGATTTTATCAGGAATTACGCTTGCAAGCAGCGGACATCAGGAAATGTGATTATGTTACTCCCACGTTATTTCACCTGGGAAAGACATGTTGCCTGGTGCTAATCCAAGTGTTTTTCTCATAGAAAGATCCATAGAAAACAATCTTCGTTAATTGCGTTACAGTGAACGTTTCCCCAGATGACTGCCGAGCATTTCTTTTTTTTCGCCGCGAAATCCGCAGGATTTTTTACCGTTTAATGGGTGACGAAACATCTGGTTTAGTAAACAAAGAAATTCCGAGATTTTTTTAAATAAAGTCCGAAGAAGTTGGGTACTTAAAAACTTTCCAATGGAAATCTTGGCATCAAAAATACTTGAAAACTAAGCTGACTTATTTTCTCTCTCCGTTATATAAGTAATATCTGAAATACTTACCGAAAAAAGGTTCTTTCTTCCAGCTGGAAAAATCAGATAACACTTTAATTAAACAGCCATTTTATTACAAGATTACTCTGAGGAATCTAATGATTTCAACGAATATTTTAACCTAATCAAGTTCGCCTATGAAAAGCCCGGCAATTGACATTTTATCTCAGTTAAACGTTTTCAGCTGTTATTACCAATGTCGTTTGGCCAAAATTCTTTCATTATCTGCATCATTTGTTGCCACTCCAAGACTTGGCACGCTTGGCGTTTTGTGATTTTTTTATTGCTTTCCTCTTGTATAGCTTGCTCGGAGAGATATTACCAATTTTTTGGAAAACCGAGAGAGTAGATTCGAGGACTTTGTTTTGTATACCAAGTTTTGTGTCTGAGTTTTGTTATGAAGGAATGAAAAACGTTTTAAAGCTGTAGAAAAAGTAAAGAAGAACTTGACATCATTTTTCCCACTTTAAAAATAACCTATAGATATGATTACAAGATGTTTCTATTTGTTGACAGGATATAGCTTTATAAGTTGTTATTACTTTGAAAGATAAACTAAGAAAGGATATGTTACGAAATTTCACAAACACTTTTGATTGAGTTGTTTTTGTCCTCGGCAACTTTGGCAAAAACTGACGAGGTCTGAATAAATATAACCAAAGCAGAAGACATAAACTAAACAGGCCCAGGTCGTGGGAACATCAAAGATGTTGGCAAGAGGCCATAAAGACACGGGTAGTTAGACGCAGGGCTATGAACTCAAGCAAATACATACTTAAACGTGCTCAAAAATAATTACTGTGAAGTTGTACCCTAAGGTGTCTGAGTTAGCATGTCTCATATTTCAGCTTTAGTGGGAAATTCGGACAAAAGCCTGTCAATCTAAGGAGGTTAAGCCAACTAGTGTCACCTGGTGCACGTGCATTTGACGGTGTGTTTCATAAAATATTATTTTTAATGGACCTCACGGATTGATTTCCCATGGAAAACAGCCAACTTGTATGATTGCGTGTTCTGACACCTAAAATAATTGAGCGCGCATGAACTTACATATTTACATCACTGTTCACAGACATGAGATGAAACGGAAGTAGACGGGTTGAAAATTCGCAGAGTAGCGAACCCAGAGAAAATATGGGTTATGAGTCTCATATCTTAAGCAGGCTCCTCTTCCGTGAGCCTTTCGTGGGATACTAAGCTACTGTTGATCGTGCCCAGGGGCTCGGCCTCAAATTGCAGATTTGAAGTACTTTAGTCTTCTCTGTTGGAAATGATACCTATCTGTTACACATGCAAACCTCGAGGTTTCCTTTTTTCTTTTCTAAATAGCATAAAATAGTAAAGAGATCTCTTTATGGGGAGACATGTCCACCGCCATATATCATGGAAGTGTCAGAACAATGTAATGACTCTTGTTTGGGAGATGACTACTGTGTTGGAAATAAAATGTGTTGTTATGATGGCTGCTCCTATGTTTGCATGGATCCCGTACCCTCAGAACCAGGTACGAACAGTTTTTTTTATTTCGTATCTTACCTATTCGCTATACCTTATAATCTTGTATTTGTTGCAAAAACTTAACATCGTAAAATGTACCTTCACTTCGGAAAGGTTCAACTGAGTGTCAATAGTAATCCAGGCACCCATTCCTCTTACTCATGTGATTGGTTCAAAAGGCTTGCGCAACTCTCGAACCAATCACGTAACGGCTTCCCGTGTTTTCCCGCGCCTTAGAAAGGTGTTCCTTGTCGTCTTTTCCTCTGTGGTGGTTGGTTGTTGACATAAAAACACTTTCCTTTTAGAGCAAATCGATCGAAATATCCTTTTCAATGTCCGCGCCAAACCTTTTTTGCCAGGATTCCAGCGCTGCTACTACAAAACAGAACATTATCCGCTATCTGACCCTCTCGTTCCATTGTATAGTGAAAGATAGGCTTTAAGCTAATTTTACTATTTCCTTTTCTCTTAAACAGTTGTTGACTGGATTGACGACGGTAGTTTTTCAGGTAAAAGGAGTATTTTTGTGTTTTTTGCAGGCAGATTTTACTTGTAATCATTAGATTAACCCTTAACCCGCTGAAAGAATACTTCATTTTGCAAACAATACAAAATGCAAGACAAAAATGAGACAAAACGAAAGAAAACTATGAGACGAGACTTAATTTGCAACCTTTTAAACCCTAACAAAGATCAACATCCAATTTCTTCACACAGTAATACTGCTTTATCAGTAATTACGATCATGAGAATAAAAGAAATGATCGTCAGCCTAGGAAGCTTTGATTGCTTAACGAATTCATGTTAATACCAAAAGCTATGTATAGAAAAGACTGTGGAGAACATTGATACTGATCTTAGGGTGTAAAGAGTTGTAACATGGGAATACACTAAATCAGAATCTTTAGTCCTTCCTGTATTTAGGTGTTTTCCAGTTGATTTGAAGACTTAATCTGATAATTAATTCTTTCTTTTGAACAAGAACTCAATGTAAATGCAGAATTAGAGATTGTGACGCCTGTCTTGGAAGAATCAGGTAAGATATGTGAGTGTTCTCTTAGTGACAAAATTAACAGACCCCATCATATCTTTAAGTGGGCCGGAATAGCCCTTCCTCGACCGTTTTTATCTTTTTTAAGATGAGCGAGGGGGCGCGTAACGTGCTAAAAAGGTTGAAGATGCGCGATGCGCGCGCTAGAACGTTTACGTTGCGCGTTCCGTGTTCCCCTTATTTCGCTCGCGTTCAAGGCGACAAGACGATGACTGACAAGAAAAAAATTCTATTAAGTCAAAACTTCTCAGTAGCCTTTTATTTGATCTTTTTTAACTTATCTGGGCGTGTAACTAATGCTATTTATCTTTTGTCACAGGATGTGTTTATCGTGGCATGGTGTTAAATGAAGGAGAAAAAATCCCTTTTGGCTGCAAAGAATGGTAAGCATCCAATTTGATTTTGTCTAGACGCGAGCTGTAAAGACAAGGCTATACAAGAATATACAAACTGATTTTGAGTGTAAAGTGTTAAAGGTCGGTTCCTCAGCTTTCTTAGCCCACAGGTACCCGGAAATTATTAATTGATTATCCTTTGGAACTGTTAGACTAAATCTGACTGGCTTGGCTGCATTATTTTATTATTTTCAGCTCTTGCTTCAATGGGAATGTGATGTGTGATGTATCAAAGTGCAACAAAGGTAACTTCCTCATTTTTTTACCCTTTCTCGCCTGTTTCCTTGCTTTTCACGTGATCATTTCGTTTTCTATCTGCATCACGTGACGAAACCCGTCCATTTCAACAGTTATACATATTCCAAAAATTAAACCAGCCACTGTGTGCTTCCAACGAAACTCTCAGAACCACAGACTCACAAAAACTTTGCATTCAGTCAGGAGAGTTGATATCTTAACTGACGTAGTTCTTTTTGCTTTATCTCAGTCTTCTTTATTATCTTTTCTTATAACAGATTACCAAGCCCGTCTCCATCCCGGTGGCTCGGGGTCTGGTGACGATAACGATGACGATGACGATGACGATGACGATGACGATGACGACGACGATGATAACGACATAAAAGGCGAAGGGTCTGGGGCAGTCGTCGATGGCGTAGAACAGAAAGAAATTTTCATACCTATTGAAGAATTGGAACGTAGAGAGAAAGAGGGCTTAATTACCTCACAAGCAGAAATCAGCGGTGACGAATCGAGCGATGACGAATCGAACGGTGATGAATCGAGCGGTGACGAAGCGAGCGATGATGAATCGAGCGATGACGAATCGAGCGATGACGAATCGAGCGATGACGAATCGAGCGATGACGAATCGAGCGATGACAAATCGAGCGATGACGAATCGAGCGATGACGAATCGAGCGGTGACGAATCGCACAATGAATTAGAAAGTGACAATTTCATTCCAGTTGACGAGGAAAGAACCTCTGAACAAAGCGGCGAAAATGAAGTTTCATTTGCGAGGCTCTAGTAAGACCATGTAAGGTAACGGCATGTCACGCACCACACTAAACATAACGTGGGGCGTGTCGACTCATTAATCGTTCAGAGGAGTGCGCGACCTCTCCGTCACGCAATACTACGGCCAACATGACTTCTACTGACAGTTCTATAAATCAACATCTGTAACCAAGAAGTAGAGAAACATAGGTTACGTATGTCACGCCATGTAAATAGTGAGACAACGTAAAAGTTTTGTTCAAGTGAAAATATATTTTCTCAGAAGCTGAGTTTACACAGGGTATGCGGATTATCGCAGTCTTCTTTAGGAAACTAAATTTCGAAATTTTCAATTTCCACTCATTTTCGACTGAAATACGTTTCATACAATTTGAATAGTCCACGAGGTGTAAATATAAAATATTCAAGGTAGCGAGGATAATATTCAATAAAAATAACAAAACTGCCAATGACTTCAGTGCAAAGAAGCAAAGTAAGTTCCCTTCACTTAGACATTAGTTTACAAAGCGAAAATGAAATAAAAAAGTGATGGCATCAAATTCAAAAGCACTTAAGAATGCGGGTTTTGCTTTCCTTGTTCACGAAAGTTTCGGGGAGATTCAGGCGGTTCTCTGTCACCCGACCCAGGCTTCCCTCGTTTCGCTCAGCCGCTAATATTGCGCTTTTTGATGTTTCGCTCCGTTTCATTCGCTAAATCCCCCCGGAACAGGCTTTAAATGGTCTGGCCTCTAGTCCGTATTCCATTCTGCAGAAATGCTGGCCGAACGACTGCACCCTTTGAAATAAGGCCAATGTTGGTTTTTTGGGGTAGATATGACGAGTTAAGTTCACAAGGATCCGTTTTCGTGACTTATATTTCGTAAATCAGCCAAGAGACTGGCGTAATGTTATCACAAAAACACAGATAAAAGAGAGAGAGTTAAGAAATCGAACCCAGAAGTCCTGCCACATCTAAAAAAATCAAGATTAAATGGGTGAGCCAAATTCTCGTGATCACTTTCTTCAGCTCCCTCAGAAAACAAGAGTCCGTGAAGGGAAGATCTCGCATTGCCCCCTAAACTTAAGCTTTTCTCTAATACTTAAATAATAGTTGATTGTGCGCAATTAAAAAAACGCACCCTTCGGCAAATAATCGTTTAAAACACGACCTCAGTGGTAAAACGAGGTAAACCTAACTTGAACAAAAAAATACCAAAGACTCACCACAGACGCTACCTGCGAGCAGAACGTCATTAGGAAAGTACGAGGCCTCGAGAACACGACTGCAAGAGACCTAGCACCGATAACTGGTGCCAGACCCCTGTGTCCGACTCGTTTCAAATCTTCTCGCAAGCGGAGAAACGTACGTTCCAGGGCACCATTATTAATGAAAACCTGCCGCATACGAAGCTAGTTCAGATTTCATTCTAATATGAGCAAAGGATTCTAGCCTCGTAGAAATTTTTATCACATTTTTTTTTTATTGTCACATCATTGTTGATAAATCACTCGGGATACTTACAGCAAATAAGTTACACGTGCTGAGCCTTGTGGAAGCAAGGTAACAAATAAATAAGCACGTTAAAAGCAAAAAAAAAAAACTATTTTAAAAAGAAAAATAGTTAAAGGTTGTAATAGTATTTCATAAAAATCAATTGTCTTCCTGCTATACTATAGTTAGCCTTGTCACGCAACGCACAATCACACACTCCGCGTGACACGTAATGTCCAGAAAAGACACTATTTCCACTCTTTGCTCCCACGATATCTACGGCGATTCTCCTTACCGACGCCACCTGCTTCTTACAATGTTAGCTCCGTTATTTTGATGTTGATTCAAAGAGTATCTTCTACTTGATATTTTTCTTTGATCTGTTTTCTTATCGCTGGATGATGTTGTAAAATTGCGAGGAGACATTGCAGGGCGTGGAAGCGATAGGGGATTCATTTCAATCAGGGAACATAACCAGCATGACAATTCATGCAAATATATTAGATATTCACCTAACTAGTGCCAATTTAATATTGTTTACTATGCGAATCATCGTCTAATTCAAAGGACACAATTAAAAGGATAAAATGATAAGCGAAAAAGGGTCTAAACGGCGCCTTTGCGTCAGTATGCACATCCTTTCTCAACAAATATGAAAAAAGAGTCAAAAAGAAAAAAAGCACTGGAAAAAAAATACTTAAAAGCAGTGCGAGCTACATGTAAAACACTTTAAAAGAAATTAAGAACCCTAAAACCCAATAAAACGATACACAAACGAAAGAAATTACAAATACAATGTTCATGTAGTTGACTTCCTAGTCTTGCGCAAAGGGCTTAACCCTGGGGTTGTTCGGCGAGACAGCGAAGACGTAATCGGAGTTGTTCGGCGGGATGGTGACGAATACGCCGGAGTGCTGGTCGTGACCTTGTCGGACGGAAATCGTACTGGAGGCGAGGCCGACTTGGTTCGGCGCGTCGGCGAAGAGGAAAAGCTTGCATCAACAGAGTCTTCAAGCTTTTGTGACTCGCGCTCCAGCACCGAGGGCTCGTATACAGTGTCACGTGCCACAGTGTGTAGCGAATCTTCTAGTTTTCCTCGGAGATCGCGGATTTCATCTGATTTCTGAGCAGTGCGCGTGATGTAAGATTGTTTCTTTTGCAATTCCTTGGCCAGCTGGTCTTTCAAAGTAGAAACCTGCGCAAACGAACATTTATTTTAATATTTATATATCATTTTTAACCAAAAGGCTACTGAGGGTATAAACGGGTTGTGTTAATATATTGGGAAACACAAAGAGCCGATTATTTACACGAGGTCTAACCCAGACCACGGTTTTACGCAATCAGCGGGCCTTAGGCTTTCCCTGTGAGAGGGTCGATTTAATGAAATAAATGTTATTCCACTGTTAGCTTGCGGTCTTCTCGACACTATTCACATAAATAAATGTTCAGATGAAAGGTTTAAGGACGCGGTTTTGTTAAACAGCGGCTAAACTTACGATATTTTTAAATAACCGGCCCAAAGAATTGAGGCATTAGAGTACCGTAGTATTCTCAGTCTCACAGCTAGTTTTTAAACCCGTTGAATTCGGCCTTTGCTCTACATATTTCTCAAAGTAAGTAAAACAAAAAGGAGTCCGTTTACTACAGAAGAAAATAATTCACTAACAAATTTTTCCACTCAACCTAAAATTTCATCAAATGACCCGGGAAAAGCGCAAACTCGCACGCATTCCTCGCTTATAAGACATGATATTCAAACAAACTGACAAATCAAGAAATAGTAACACCATTCCCTTCCTCGCATTTTCCTAACCAAATAACACCAGCTGGAAACATGGCAAGACACTCAAATGTTGAGAGAGACAGCTTACCTGTTCCTCCAGTCCCTTGACACGTTGTTTGTGTGCACGCTCTCTCGCCATCTGTGTCTTCTCCAACTGGCCTTGAGATTGTTTGGCCCTCTCGCTTTCTAACTCCACCTCCTGTCGATGCCTGCTTGTTAATTCAACCAGTCTGAATTTTGAAATTAAACAAAGATTAACTCATTAGAAACTCCTGCGCTTTCTCTTCTGACGTTCATACACTAGAATTCAAAATATTGAAGACAATTTCAATTGACGAGTTAAATAACACCAAGTGTAGCATTCCTTATGGCAACAAGTAAATACTCTACCACCGATTCCCGTTAACGAGGGATCCGTACTGATTGATCATGGTGTTTTATACTTACTTTTGCGCATGCGCATGCTCGGTGTCAGCGATCTGTTGTTGAAGGCCTTGAATCGTCCTCTGCAATTCTTGGTTGTCCTGTTCGTATGAGCTGCTTGATCGGTCCAGCTTATCACGCTCGTCACGCAATCTTACGCTCACTTCTTCTGCTTCAAGTTTCTCACGTTCGATCTATAATTGTCACGCCGAGGATAAAGTCACAAATAATTAGTGCTACAGATAATGCTATGTGTTCTGTGTTATGTTCTTCAGCACAAAGCACACACAGATATAGAAAAAGTTCGACTATCATTCTCTGCTTTCTTCTCACCTTATCAAG